TTATAACTGATATGTTGGCTACTTCGTGTATTCTATGTGTCGAAGAGTATTTGAAGTTGTGTTTGATTCTTGTTTGTGTTCTTGGTGTCAAGTTTGTGTCTTGTTTGTGTTTCAGTTTGTGACTTGTATCGCTTTGTGACTTGATTATGAAGTTGTTTTATGTTTTAATTTAAATGTTATCGCTTTTAAGAAGATTTGTCTTTAATGAAAGGAGTTGGTCTTTAGTTGTGGTCTGTTTTAGTTGTTGTATTGCTTTTAAGAAGCATTGTCTTTGATGAAAGTTATTGCTTTAGCTGTTGTATGTTGGGGCTGATTTAATTCTTATTTCTGTTAGTGATCTGACCATGTTCTTGTTTCGATTTGTCTTTTGTTGTTTGTTCGATAAACCGAGATTCTTAGAAAGAATACTTTGAGGGTTTAGGTTGCAGATGAGTATGTTTTGTTTTGAGTATTTACCAGGAAAAGGTTTGAATCGTTTTAGTGATCTCATCTTTTGAGTATGGTTGCAGATGAATATGTTTTGTACTTATGAATAAAAGTTTGAATTTGTGTTTCAGGTTTCAAAGATTATAGAGGTCGGCACAAATAAACAAAGCCAACAAAAAACAATGGTCTATCACCATCTCCTTTCGACACAAAAAAAAAAACAAAGTCACAAAGAAACACTAAGAAACAAGACAAGAAATGGGCCTTTTTTTCTTTGTTTTTTTTGTCGATGTGTTGTGTTTTGTAACTTTGCCAATAATAAACCATGTCCAAAAATGTATAGGATCATTTGACACCACAAGTATACAATGTGTTTTTCTATTAAATTGCCAAAACGATCTCCATAAAATTCACAAACACAATACTTCTTCTTCTCTTTCTATATTCTCAAACTACAACACCTTTGATCCCTCAAAATCATTTTCCTCAAATTCACAAACCCAACACTTTTTTTTTCCTATAATGGTTTCTTCTTCTTCCAATAATAATTTTGATGCATCCATAGATGATAATTTTGATCAAGTTTTCAATCAAACATGTGAAAATCTCTTCATTGATTATGGTAACCATCAAGAGCCAAGCAACTCAAGGAAAAAAAGAACTTTTATCGAAAGAGATCGCGAAGAAGGCCACAACTGTTTATGGAACAATTATTTCATTCAAGATGCAACATACCCGGCAAATCTATTTCAACGACGTTTTAGAATGCATATACCATTGTTCTTGCATATCGTTGATCGGCCTTCCAATAAAATTCCTTATTTTCAATAGAATATTGATGCTACCAGAAGGCCTGGTCTCTCTGAACTTCAGAAGTGTACAACAACATTTCGTCTCTAAGCATATGACACTGCGTTTGATATGGTTGATGAATAGCTCTGGCTCGGTGCAACTACTGTTTGTTTATGTTTGGAAAAATTTGTTGAAGGAATAATAATTCTCTTTGGTGAAGAGTACCTAAGTGATGCGTGTCAACTGCGTGAGGGAACAAGTTTTACCCTTAACAAAAACAAATGAAAGCCGCAAGTGCACAACTAATCAGTTGTAGTATTTAGGGATAGAATCCACAGAGATTTGTGTGCCTGGTATTCTTCTATGATTTCTAACTTTATGTCTAGACTAGATTGGTTTTAGAGGTTGGTTGTTTGTCATGGATTAAACTAAAACTAAAGAAAGCAAATAAATCTATCCTAAAAAGCAAGTAGAAAAAATCGAATGGAAAGCAAATAAAGCAAGCAAAATATCGAACTAAAGTAAATAAAATGCAGATCTAAATAAACAAGTAAAAATCGATTGGATTGTAAACTATGGCTAAAAACACTGAGATTTTTGGAACTCTACAGAGATCATAAACAGTTTTAACATTAGGGATCATCGATTGGGATTGACGGATATCGAAATATAAGGTTCTAGAGGTAGAGTACGGCGGTATGACTACGTCACTGTCGTGATCATAACCAACTGTTTATCGCAACCCTGACCAGTAGGTTTCCACTCTGGCCCTGGAATGGAGAGAACGCAAGAGCTGCACAAGACTCGTCAGTACTCACGATCTCGCCGCAGGTAGGTTTCCTCTCCTACGGAAAAATCGCCTGTTTCATTCTAGGTCTGATACTTAATGAAAACTTTCGCAACACTAACTATCTAGATCAGATACTAGGTGATCAATCAAGCATACATGCAATAAGAACGAGAATAAACAGAGAACAAAGTTAAAATCCCAGATCTATAAACCTAGATGTCTTAATCGATTATGATAGCCTCTTTCGGGAACCCTAAGCCCAACTCGGGATCTACTCAGACATGGCTGAGGTCGACATCATCATTGGTTTTAATAAAAGTAATCAAAAACAGTAAAGAAAAGAGATGAAAGAAAGCTTCTCTATTAAAGAACTCAGACTTGAACAATCATCTATAAAAATCGCATAAAACGGCTAAAGGAAAAGGGCTTCTGTAAAAGTATGAATGTTGTCTCTAAAAACGACATAAATGACAAGTATTTATAGTCTTCAATACTCCATGGTCTCTAGAGTTCCGGAATTGAGGCTGAGACTGACTTTGGGCTTCAGAAATATGGGCTTTTAATCGGAGTTGGCCAGCCGCGGTCGGGAGTAACGTGACCGCGGGAAATAGGTGGTTGGCCGCGGTCGGGAAGCTTGTGACCACGGGAAATAGGCTTGTGGCTGCGGTCGCGTGACTTGCTGGCCGTCTTCGAGTGGCTCCGGGGCTAATAGAATATCTTGAGATCCAACTGTTGGAATGTCTCCAAACCTAGTGGATTTGAAAGCTGGTTGATTCTTCTATAAGTTGTCCAATTTTGAAGGTGATCAGACGCTGAGAAAGTCTTCGTATCTCCATGAGAGTTCTGACAGTCTGCATTTATCCAAAAGAGTCTTTTTGTTCTAATTTGTGCCTCTTTATCCCAAATTACTTGAAAAGTCTTTTAAAATCCGAAAACATAGAAATCATTTGAAAACCTTTGAAAATGGAGTAAAAACACTTGTAAAATACATTAAAGTGATCCATAAAAATGGTCAAAATCCGGTGTTATCAACTCCCCCAGACTTAGTCTTTTGTTTGTCCTCAAACAAAACAAAGGCAAAATCTCGGTGAGAGGTTTGAAAACGCAAGAACTAAACAAAATCTTAGAGACCAAACTTCTAGACCAATATCAATCATTATGCATCAATCGGGAATAGCCTAGAAAATTCTCACTCTAGCAATACAGGCATAACTAGTCCGTTAATCTGTCATGCGGAAATATATTGCATTAAGATCTAACTTCCAGTCAACTAGCTCTTAACATTCATTAAAATTCTCGGTGATTCTCATCAAAGAAAGTATAAGCAAGGCAATCTAGGCTAGGTGTCAAAAGGGTTATTCTAGGTGTAAGGCTTAAAGTGTTTATGGGTTACCTGAGGATCTGGAGGATGCAAGATATTATGCAAAATCGCAAGAGAGAGTGAAGCTGTTGGTATCCACTGTTTTCAGTCACTTTTTTCTTGCCATAGATTCTTGGTCTTGTTCCTCAGGTTCTCTCCTAACTCCCCCAGACTTAGATTTTTGTAAATCTTTCAAAACCATAGCTCTTTAAACCAATAGTGGTTGCTTCTTGCTCCAAAAATTTCGACAATCTAAGACTCATTAGGCTTTTTGTTTCCCTCTCTCTTTTCATTCATCTTTTTTTTTCATTATTATTATTATTAATATTATTTTTTTAATTTTTTTAATTTTTTTTTTATGACAGAGGGAACACCTTTAGATGTAGAGTCATAGAGAGCACGAAATTACCAATTAAAATCGGTCTTGTAAAGCTTAATGAGGTTTTTGATACTCTTCCTTCCCAAATTCCATTCAGTCTTCCTTGTGAGTGACTGAAAACTGCGTCGCTCCTCTTCTCTCCGACGTTTTTGCACATATCTGCTGATATAAACTAAAGAGAGAATACATGAGGATTGAAAATAAGGGTTTTAGGTTTAGGATATGGTACCAGATAAAGATGAACTGGCCATCAAGGACGACAAAGAGTGGTAAAAATGAGGGTAAAAGACGTCCTAGATGTATTTCTCGATGCCTGCCTAAAATTAATGATGAGAAAATTAGATATCAATATTATATCAAATAAAATGAGCTAGTATATCCTGTCAAAAAGAATCTCTATGAATAGAAGTCCTCTGGTGGGAGTTTGTAGTGTGAGTACTGTAGCTACCGCCTAGTCTAGTGCTAACCACAAATGAGTTATCATGCGTAGTGTAGAAGCGTGCAGGTCTATATCATCATAGTTTTGTGTCAAACATTCCTGAAAAATACTTAAGGTCGAATACGTGATAACACCGGATTTTGACCATTTTTATGGATCACTTTAATGTCTTTTACAGGTGTTTTTACTCCATTTTCAAAGGTTTTCAAATGATTTCTATGTTTTCGGATTTTAAAAGACTTTTCAGGTAATTTGGGATAAAGAGGCACAAATCGGAACAAAAAGACTCTTTTCGATAAATGCAGACCGTCAGAACTCTCATTGAAAGACGAAGACCTTCTCACCGTCTGATCACCCTCAAAATTGGACAACTTATAGAAGAATCAACCAGCTTTCAAATGCACTTGGTTTGGAGACATTCCAACAGGTGATCTCAAGATATTCCATTAGCCCCGGAGC